CGCTGGAAGTGTCAACCGCGCTTAAGAGACAAGATGCCGAAAGAAACGTCAACAGAATAAACTCGCGAATACGCGACACTGACGTCGTCCGCGTCCCGCGCACCGCGCGTCACATCACGCAAACCGGCGTCTAAACAAGCCTCTGTCAGGCGATACAAACAACCAAAACCAACGGCGTCGACACGTATTGTTCGATCTGTATATTGTAATTATCGTCAGCTTAGTATTTAAATATATTATTCATTATTATTTTTAAAAACACTGTTTCTCAATTATTCCGCTTATCACGAACCCGACCCGACGAGCGATCCGAACACGCGACGAATCGCGGTTACAAGAGCAACAGTTTTCTTGGCATGGCATCCACAAATTGTCAGACAGGTGGGAAAAATGTATAGCTAGCGATGGGCAATACTTCGAATAAAATATTTTTTATCATTTTCATACAATAAACGTGTATTTTCTATACAAAAATTCCGGTTTCATATTTACATACCTGGTATATCTATATACGGAACGAAAACGATCGTCAAAATGTTACATTTGACAAGCGCCAACATGTTCGCGCTACCATTGCGCCGAATTATGATTTCATATATCGTCCCTTCACAAATGTTATGCAAGTGTGTGTGCTACGTTGTGATTTCAATTTTCTTACACATAGACGTTACGTAAATGTGAATACTACTTTGCACTTATCAAATGTTCTCAATTCCGTATATAGATATATTATAGACATATCATCACTTAGAGATATATCATAAATATGTATGAAAGAATAGATTATTTCTTATTGTTTTTGTCTCATATTGATGGATGCTCCGTTTCATTTTCGTACGTATTTTCACCATTTAAAAGAGTTTTTAATTCGACGCAGGTAGAAAGAAGTAAACTTTGCAGAAAAATTCGATTTCGTGATAGTAACTGTGTATTATCATTTTCGTCTCATATTGATGGATACTCTGCTTCATTTTCGCACGTACTTTTACCGTGCGAAAGGGTTTTTAATTCGACGCAGGTAGAAAAAAGTAAACTTTGCAGAAAAATTCGATGTCGTGTTAGTAAGTGTTCATTATCGTTTTCCCCTCATATTAAGGGATGCTCCGCTTCATTTTTGCACGTACTTTCACCATTCAAAAAGGTTTTTAATTTGACGTAGGTAGAAAGAAGTAAACTTTGCAGAAAGATTCGATTTCGTGATAGTAATAGTGTATTATTGTTTTCGTCTCATATTTTTGGATGTGCCGCTTTATTTTCGCACGTAATTTTGCAATGCAAAATGGTTTTTACTTTGGTCCAATTAGTACGAAACAATAGTTTCGCAAAAGTATTCGGTATCACGTCAACAACATTTCCCAAAAAATTTTAATTTCTGTTGACTAAATTAAAAATTCTTTTGTATAGTAAAGATATATGCATAAATGAAATAGGGCATTCCTCTTTCAAGGATGAAAACGATGTGGAACTAGTGTTATCATGACACTGATTTCATTTTTCAATAATTATAGTTTACTAACTGCTCCAATTTATATGGTAAAATTACATGCGAAAATAAAGTGTAACATTTGTCAGTGCGAAATAAAAAAATATCTCAAATTACCGTTGCTAATTATATTGAAATCTCAAATAATAGATAACGTATTATTCAAAATATTATTCGCAAATTACAACACTCTTTTCTAAAAACTTTCTTTGATCCACCCAATATACAAGCGGTTTGAAGAATTGATCAGAAATGCAGCAAAACACTGTTTTGGAGAGAATGCGAATATCGGCAACGTGGCACTCACATTTATGTAACGTCTATGTGTAAGAAAATTGAAAAGACAACATAGCACACACACTTGCATAACATCTGTGAAAGGATGATAGCGATATTATGTTAGCGCCTGTTTGACGATCGTCTTTATACTATAAATATATATGTGTATATAAATTCGATATCGTCGGTAAATGAAGATAACGTTTTCTACTTTTTGACGATCGCTCTACGTTATCGACGTTATCAAGTTCATCGCTCGCTCCGGCATCTCCTTAAGGGGATGCCGGATATGAAAACTTTACCGACATAACATTGACTTTTTTCTGAAAAGTTTACGTCTTGTTTCTTGCACAGAATTACAAACACTTTTACACAACAGAAGTGCATGCAAAAATAAATTGGAGCATTGCTCAATATGTGACGAAAACGAAAAAAATATGTTTAAATTTAAATTTCGAGCTGTCAGTGCAATAT